ACGGACCTATTAACACCGGCGAAACACCTCAACGATATGGGCTCCAATCTGGCCTCGAATAAATCAATTGCACTGCACGGTTTTATGGTGGGTCAGCTGCAGCCAGACTGTCTCCGGGAGGACAGTTTATTGGCCCTGGAGAGGTTCCATCATTCGCCTGGGCCACAGAGGTGGCCGAAGAAAGAACAAGATCCTGTTAGTTCAAGATCGCACGAGAGGAAATCAAAGGGTGAAATTAGTAGAGAGTTGAATACTAGAGATAAGACAAATGATGGTAGAATGGAAAAAGAGGAGAGCGACTTGAAAGCAACAGAAGCAGGACTCCGGGTTAATGAAAATGATGAGCAAGAAGAGAACGAAGTAGAGAGAGAGGAAGATGAAGAAAAGGGGGAAAAGGAGATATTAGATCCTGAGAAGGTTGGGGAAGAATCGCAAACTTGGTCAAGCATATCCCGAATTCAGGTAAGGGGTCATATTAGCATTCGTAAAAATTAGCTTACTATTCCGCTCAGTTTCCAACACAGACCAGGCTCCATCATCCCCTATCTTTGCTCTGCTTAAGTGTCCACTATGGACGCAGCTTACAGGTTCCAACACAAAAGATGGATCACACTTAAATCTAGAGTAACGTGTTTCCGAAATGATGCATTAGGTAGGGAAAGGTGCAGTAAGAGAACGGTCCATGAAAGAAAGATTCATTGTGACTCGATGGAAGTATAAAAGCTAAGCGGATAGGTGGGATTATCAGTCACCTGGTAAACCTGAAACCCAAGAAGTGGGTTGACCTCGTTGTCGCAACCTGGTCTTGTAGTCAGGGGGACTATGTAGAATTCACCTAGTCCGAAGTCGTCTGCCGTAGGATCGGCTTCATTTGTCTATTTGACGAGTTGAAGTATGGTGCTAAGAATGGCAAAGCTGACTGATGATGCCAACTACGATGCCGGCGAAACGTTTAAGAATGTATCAAGTCTACTGTCAGATGCTGGGAATCAAGACAACTACTATGGCAGACGACTTCGAACTAGGTGCGTTCTACATAGTCTCGCTGACCACAAGACCAAGTTGCGACAATGAGGTCAACCCACTTCTATAAATCGAAAGGAGACTGCGACCATAACAGAGGCCACAACATCTTGGTCTTTATATATTCTGAAACCCAAAATTGGCAAGCCGGAGGATTCATTGAGTACAAGTAAACCTGATGATATGAAGAGCAAGATAGTCGCATTCTCTTTGCGTTGTATAGAAACTGTTTGACCTTATTTTCGCAACATGGTCATATTATTAGGAAGACTTTGAGGAGCGCACCTAATCCGGGGTCCATTGTATGCATGATAATTTCCAAAGTCGGGTCGTAAACATGGTACATTCCCAGACGCCTCGCCGGCATCGTAGTCGGCATCGTCAGCGAGTCTTGCCATACTACTACTACAACTCGTCAAATAGACAAGTGAAACCGATCCTTTGACCAATTATCTGCTTAACAGTTTTGGTATCTCTCCTTCTGTCATGGTCTATTCACCTTTCCTATATCCTCGTATCACGCCTTCACTATCACACTTTTTTTCCTTGCTTATTTAAATGTAGTGTGGTGTGCCCTTTTGAACATCTTTCATGAGAACCCTCCGCACTCTACGCTGGTCTTCTCACCCCCCTTCATCCTTGTGCTGGGAATGTTGATAAGAGTCTTCCATAATGTTATGCAGTCCTCCTTCCATAGGTCTTTTCAGAGTCTCCCTCTTGTCCGTCTTCTCGTGTTGCGTCGACGGACTGGTGAAAAGTG